GAACTGAAGAAAAAAGAATTGCCATGGGCCTTTCCTCATGCAACCGAAGGATAAACAAGACTCCCAAACTTGAATAAACTTCGACCAGAGGTTCCATTCCACTGCACCAGTTGTTTTGAAGGTTCTTGAGTTTCTGAGCTGGAGTTCACTTGTAATAAAGAGTGTAAAATATTTTTTTCTTGCTTAAAATTACTATAAAAGAAAAATTTTTAACAAAACAAATACGATCTTTTATATATATTTTTTAAATTTGAATAGTATAAATTGAACCAAATAATAAAACTTTGATATAAACTTCTATTAATAAATTTGAATTTAATTAATTGTAATTTGGTAACCAAATAACTTAATTTGAACTATACATATTTCCTTATTACTATAAAAGAAAATTTGATTGACAATACAATTCCCAATTATTTACTAATTGTTACTTAGTAATACAAACATAATATAGTTTTTGAAAAATGTCTGAATTAAATACAAATATATGTATAATTTAGACTAGAGTTTATTAAAAAAAATAAATTATAAATATATTTTTATTAATTTTTTAAACAAATTTATTTAAAAATATTTATAATTTAAAAAATAGTTTTCTAATATTATAAAGAAAAATTATTAAATAATAGAATTTCTAGATTATCAAAAACTCTTTTCTATTTATACCACTATTCTTAAAATTTTTTATTTTTAAGAAATATACTTTCTTTGCTTGAAGAAAAACACTCTATATTATAAATACACTTAGAGAAACTCTTCTTATGTTAGCAATATCACATTATACTCTTTCTAAAAATAAACTTTTGCTGATAAAGAAGTTATAAGATTGAAAGCAGCTCCCTTTATTCCTAAACAAGTGTCTTAAATGACAAAGTTAAAAGTATTATTGAAGTTTTTATCTGGCTCCTTAATGATTAAAGTCAAGTGGTATTTCTCTTACAATTAGAAAATACAAGCTAATAAGTATAAAAACATTTCATATATACAAACTCAAATAAGAAGTCTTAAACAAATATTATAATATCTCCAATTTTTTTCTTTCTTGCTTCTATCTGTATACAATATCAAGGCTTTATTATTTGGGTTTTGATATCATGCAAGCTGAACTTCATTTGATTATAATAAATAATAATAGTGACATTTCATTTAAATCAAGAAGCAAATGACAAATTCTAGTTAAAGATTTTTTAGACAAGTTAAAATCAACAATAAGATATAAAGAGATAGGTAATTGCATACATTTATAGTAAACACAATAGTATATAGACAAGTTTTAAATAGTTTTTCTCTAATATGCAAGCACAAATTTAAAAAGGTCTATAGATTTAAAGAGATTTTTTTGCAGTATATAGGTTATCCACATTATATCAATTATATTTTCTTATCTCTACTATTTTTTAAAAATTTTATATCCACTAAGGAATCAAAGAACTACTTATTAAAGTTCCTTATATCAGATAATGCAGGGGTCTTATTAAATAGGTCTTGACAAATTAGTAGTCCTCCTATACTATATTTTCTCTTATATACTCAAGAAAATAATATAGTATTGGAGTTTTCCAGGATAACAATAAGTCATGTAATAGAAACTAGTATTGTACTATATTTAGCTAATTCTAATAAGTTTTCTTTTGATTTAATTATTTATTGATTGGTTTTATAAGTATATATATTTATGAAATATTTCTTATAAAACTTCTTAAAAAGTTGAATAAAGATTTATATTAGTGGTATAAAAAAAAAAAATAGAATTTCTAGATATTGAAATAAAATATAATTTAAAATATAACTTAAAATATAACTTGCAAATATTATATAAGTCTTTTGAATATATTATATGTTTGATATTTATATATGTATTAAAAAAAATAAATATTTTTATATATTAATTATTTTAAAAAAAAATTATTTAAAGATTTTGATTATTTTTATATTTATAGTATATAACAAAAATAATTAAACAATATATTAAATTTTATTTTTATAATATTTCAATAATTATTTAATAATTAACTTAATTTAAAATTTAGTTATATTTTACTAAAAAATATAAATTTTATATTAAATATAGAGTTTTAAAATGTTTTAGAAATTTTTTAAAAATAATTTTATATAATAAAAAAATAAATCAATTTTAATAATATTTATTAAATATAATAATAAATCTTTTATAATTTTTTTATAAACTTAAAATTTATATTTATTTTTATATTTAATTTTTTAAAAAAAATTTTCTATAATAAAATTTTAATTTTCATCTATATTTTATATATAAATTTATAAATAAAATTTTTAATACATTTTTTGAAAATTTTTTTTGATTTTAAATTAATATTTTCAAATAAATTTATTAATTAAGTATTAATAAAACTTTAATATTTTATTGATTAGATTATAAAATATATATATTTAAAGTTCTATCTCAATTAAATTATTATTTATTGAATTATAATAAAAAATATCAATCCAATTATTTTTGTTACACACTGTATATTACTATAAAAATTTTTTAATTAATAATATAATTTTGAATTAAATATAATTTTTATTTATTTATTATATATTACCATAATCTTGAAAATTGAAATTGAACAGATTTATATAGACTTATATAAGATTTAAAACACTATTAAAAATGATATTGAATTATAAAACATATATTAAATTTAATATAAATCTGAAAATCAAAAATTGAATTAAATTAAATCATTAGGATACTTATATATTACTTAGTAATTCTATTATAATATAGTTTTTGAAAAATGTTTAAATTCAATTTTACTATATATATAATTTTGATTATAAAACTAGTAAAAAAAAATATCAATGTTTTTTATATAATAATTTGATAATATTTGATTAATTTGAAAATTAAAATAGTTTTTTTTTTATAATATTAATTTTAAAAAGTAAATTATATTAAATAAATTAAAACCCATATTAGTAGCAATTAAAATAAAATTATTTTTTACTAATAAGATGACTTTTTAGTTATTACAAAATATAATAAAAAATAGTATAAAGATATATAATTATTAAAATAAATGTTTTAAAATTAATTAAAAGTTTTTATATAGATAAAATTTTATATAAAATTAAAACAAGTTTATTTTACTTTACAAAAATTATGGATTTTAATTAAGTTTTATATTAAAATTCTTTTTAATTATATTTTCAAAATCATAAGAATACTTAAAGATTAATAAAGATTTTAGCAAAACAATAATTTCAAGCACATCAGTTATCTAATAAAAATATTTTATATCATATAATATAACTATCTAACAGTTGAATTTGAATCCAATAAAAACATAAGAAATATTATTAAAAAGAATAAAGAAAAAAAATCTAAAAAATCATGATGAATTAATACAATACATAAGAGAAAAATAGGATAATATTCTTAAAAAAATTTGTATAATCAATAAGACAACAGTGTGAGCTAGTAATAAAAATAAAGGTAAAAGAATTGCATATTGAAAATTTTTATTATAATTATATACAGTATGTTTTATATACTCAAACAAAATTTGATAAATCAGTCGAATTACAAATAATTTTTTAATTACGTATTATTTTTTTTTACACACTGTATGTTCGTTTTTTTTTCAGTACCATCTTAAAAATATAAAAAATATTAACTTGAGACTTTGGATAATATTCGAATATGTAATGTATTTATCCTTCTAGCCAGTTCCCCAATACGATGGCAACCTGCAAGAATGCGTTTACTTTTTTTGATTCCTTATTTACAATAATCGGACTTGAGGCATACGTGTGTGGCGTCGTCAGTGTTGTAAAAATAACGATCACGTGATACCATGCATTATCTGTGCCAAAGGTTTTTTTTTTGTGTATACAGTATATGCATAATACATCATCACGCATAAGGAAAGTAATTCCCTTAAAAAGAAATATCAAATATGTACCGTCGCAAAAAATCAAGCGCCATTTCTTTCAAGAAATCCAATGCAGTTTATCTCCGAATCTGAATGGTCATAAATATACGCCGGGATACATGGAGGTTCACGCAAAACGTGTGTTCACTCCCTGATCGAATATCCTACTAACTAAAAAGAATCATTATCAACAAATAAGCAGGTGAGTGGTTTGTTAACATGAACATTTCATATCGATTAATGATGGAAAGCAAGTTCTTTTTTTTTTTTTTAATAACTTTAAATATAATGTGTTGTATTAATTAATTAATTAATTAATTAATTGGTAATTTTGTTCTATTGAATTTTCAGATAAAAAGAAAACTTTAAAAAGAGGGAAACAGTAACATTCTCGCACAACATAACCGTGTAGATCGGGAGTTCTAAAATTCGAGTTCGCAGTTGATCTCATGACGTTATCAGGTGATTCAGAGCTCCCACTTTCTCAATCTCCAAATATAATCCTGTACACCAACGAATATTTCTTCTTAAAAGAAGAATCATTTACATAATGACTTTGAATGAAAAGACTTTTTGAAATTTCATTTGCGATCTTCTTGAGAAAAATTGTCAAACCGTTGAGTCCAAGTATTTCATTTTCATTCTAGGAGTATTTTGGAATGAAGTGTTTGTTACATTTATAGTTAAAATAATCACATGATTTGAGCGTGTATATATTCTTTCAAAATTTTTATTATACAAAATTTAAAATATTAAAGAAAAAATTACAAATTGTCAGTAAAAAGAAATAAAAAAAAACTGCAAGTCTATAAATAAAGAAAGTGCGAAATAAATGGTATCAGTATCGGTCAGTGCATTAAAGGTTGTTAATATTTTGTGTATGATGAGATGCGCGTGTGTATGTGCGTAGTTCGTGATTTAATGCTGTAATAATGAAGGAATAAGAAAACTTGAAAGAAATGATACAAATAATTGAGTGAAAAAAGAATATAAAATAAAATGTATGTGAAAATAATATATACAAGCCTCTTTCGAAAGAGGAAACCAAGTGTTCCATCTAGATGTTTCAATATTAATATTACAAATTTCGACATTGCTCGGTCATGACTCCAAAACCTGAAAGATTTCACATTCCACGATATCCGATTTCAACAAATACCCAATTTCTGGGTCAAAGAAATATCTACTAAATTCGTAACTCCTCTCTCGAAAATTAAAGGTCAAATCATCGTAACCAAAACAGAGATCACCATTTGAAAATTTGATCGTCATCCTTGACCAATCAGTTTGCACTC